GGCGCGAATAGCACGCCGGTAGTGTGCATATCGCGTGGTATAACACGGCGTCGTGAGCAGACATGTGCATGGATCCGAGTGATAGACCTATGATCCCAGTGGATCTTGAGGCAAACTGCAGGCTAGGATCTATGATCCCACTGGATTCGGCTCGAAAAATTTATCATAGATCATAGATAACAGTAGAACAGTAGATAACAGTTCTACTGTTATCTATGCATAGATCTATGATCTCATAAGATCTGATGAAAAACTAAGAACAAGGATCTATGATCTGAGTGGATCCCGCCATGCAAAGCATTTGAAACCAGATTTCCAAGTGTTTCTACGTCAATAAGTGCCTCAAAACTATGGGTTATGACGTGCAATCTCATAAAATCACTAAATCAAAACATTTTGTGAGTTGCAACAAGTGATTTTTGGGGATTTCTGTGTTGAAAAAAAAAAAACGAATGAGGATCTATGATCTCACTGGATCTCACTCAAAAATGAGACTCGGATCTGCGATCCATACGGATCTCCGATAAAATAAAGAGCTTGATCTATGATCCCATGGGATCCGAGATCAGGATCTGTGAGATCAGATCCCACATCCATTTTTCTCGGATCCATGCACATGTCTGGTCGAGAGGGTGTTTAACGCTCAGAGGATATTGTATGTATGGTCTGTTTTCGTTGGTCGATGGTTTCGATGAATCAAACATCGAAGTGGAGAGCACTAACTCAAGCCAGCTGGTGGTCTGATCGTTTCCTTTCGCGGGGGAGGCTTTTATCGGAAGATAGTTTTCATCCCCCCAACTCGGCCACTGGGCCACGTAGCGATAAACGGATCGGAAATAAAAAAATGATAAAAAAATAGGCACCCCTTTTAAGTGTGTCAATTAGGAAGCATGTCATAAAGACCAGAGGCTATCAATGATCATATTTACCGATTATTTACCGATTTCCGCGTCTTCAGAAACTGGGTTATAACAGAGAGTCCCCCTACAGTACAGGCCCTCCCCCCTCCTGTCTCCGAAACTACCGGGACGACTGTAAAATTCAAACGACGTATGACAGCCCTGTAAGCATTGTCAAACAAAACCCAATTTTATTGACCTAAAGGACCAATTTTATTGACCGATTAAGTCACAGGTCACCAGGTCAAGGCAAAGCAAAAATTATCAATAATTTGGCTTGTTCACACATAGACCACTATATATTGACCACGATATACATAGACCACGATATACCTATAGTGGTCTATGGTTCACAATAGCCGTTTTCACGACGGGCTATCCGACGAGTGCTGAGTGCACCTAATTTGACCAAATCTGTACCTAGTCTCTTTTACAGCAAATATCTTTATTTCATGATTTTATTTCAGTGTTTTAATCGATGATGCTCTCTGATAATTTGACAAAGCAGGCACATAAACAATGCAACCCTAGCTGATAGCTGATAGACTCACTGAACCTAATTTGACCAAATCTGTACCTAATTTGCACCAGATGTGCACCAAATGTATATCAGATGGCCGTCGTGAAAACGGCTGATATGGGCTGTGGCCGCCGGTTAACGTCCCATCAGGCTCATTTTTTTGTTTAGCCCGCGTCCCACTGGGGTCTGCGTATAACACGCTCTACTGGGGGGGGGGCTCTCCATAGCCCCCCCCCCCTCCTATCTCCGAAACTACTGGGCCGATCGTCAAAATTCAAACAGTGTCTGATAGCCCCGGAAAAACTGTCACGTGAAACCTAATTTCATTGACCTCGAGGTCACCGATGACGTCACAGGTCAGGTCAAAGTAAAAATTGTAAGCATTTTGGCTTGTTCACATTTTGGGCTCTGGCCGCCGTCTTACAAGTCAGATCAGGCTAATTTTTGATTTATACACTCATGAACAGATGCTCTAGATACCCTGAGGGTAGTAAACTTGTACTTTGATTTTCAGGTCAGGGTCAGGTCATCACATGTCACGGAAATATTATATCATGCGTCGGTCGCGTGACAAATGTTTTATGGTCCATTTAGGCCATAGGTTTCGAATTTAATGTCGGCTGTGTCATTTGAGGTCATTTTGAGTCGAATTTAGCTTAGGTCAGGTCACTTTCAGGTAAAAAAAGGTCAAATTTTGAAGTTAACATTTTTCAACAAAAAAGGTGTCTATTGGATGCAGTTTGAGCTCAGGAACACGATGGTGCTATTTATATTGGTGTATGCTGCCAAACACGTACTGAAAAAAATGATTTGAAAAATTAATAATTGTATTTTTTTGCAATAATGCGTATAACTTGGCCATTTTTGAAGATATTTAGCTAAAACGTAATGGAGTTAGTCATAAGCATGCGTTCTATCACATATATTCCGTTTTTTTTTCGAAAAGTCAAAAACTTTTTGAAAAAAATATAAAAATATTAATTTTGAGTTTTATTATAGAAATTTTTCAAAACTTTCAAAATCTTGAAAATCCGAGAAGGTAGTTTGATAGCGCAGTCTATTCTGAGTCCTCTCATGCAAAGAAATTGGATCAAGGTTAAAAACTGAGCTCTTGGGAGCGATTGCCGTGGTTCAATGATTTGCGTCGAAATCGGCCGAACATGACGTCACTCTGACGTCATTTCCGGCCGACCTATGGTAGCTACGAAGTTCATATTTTGACACAAGGTGTCAAATTGATGCAGCCTAAGGTACTGAAAGTTTGGCATTGATACGTCAAGCGTTTTGGAAGTTACTGCAGAAAAACGGGAGGGGCTATGAATAGCCCCCCCCCCCCCAGTGGGGCGCGGGTTAACTTTCCAGGCGGTGGGGGAGGGCAGCGGTGTGGAGCTCTGGGCACCCCGGCCCAACCATTTTCACAAATCGACACCCCTGCGCCACTGCCCCCCCCCCCTCCCCCGCCCGGTTCCCGCGCCTATGAAAGGTACCTATTGACTACTGTAAAATGTAAAAGCGTATACCTATCTTGGCCATTTTTGAAGATGTCGTGCTCAAACTTACTAGAGAAAATCATCGTAATGTGTTCTTTTCATATACCTTTTCAGGTTTTTACTCAAAGTCACAAGCTTAGGCATAGGTAAAAAATTCACAAATATATTGGTATTCTTATAGTCTATAGATGTTATAGGCATGTTTGATGTTTCCCAAAGTTTGTTTTAAACTGCGTTAGGAATCCAAATGCGCAGAAATTTTCGAATTAAGAGAAATATTTTATTAGGGTCATGCCTTGGTCATGCCTCTCCCAACAGCGTCCGAGACCGCCTTTCTGGATCCGCCAGTGGCACCGGTTATGTGGTAGGGGTGACCACCAGCCTTGAAACGAATGGGTCAGGAGGGATGCCGATGGGCAGGGGCGGATCCAGGAAAACTCCAAGGGGAGGGTCATGAATCGAAGTGGTGCCCCTACCTATACCCAAAATTAAAAACTCAACGGATTTCGTCCACTTCATTTTGGTGGTGCCCCCATTTTCAGTTTTTTATTTTTATTTTTTATTTTTAGTCAGTATCTTAACTCTTACCCACAACCACATTTACCAATTGTAAGCAAGTATATATGAATGTGCTATGTGTATATATGTTGTGGACGCTGAGTAGTGAGTACTTACCAGGAACGTTATCAGGTAAGCGAATCGTTGTCAGTCCGACGAACTTGACCCTGGCGTCTAAAGGGTCTGTCCTTGACACTTCAGGCTTGTCACAGTCCTTCCAGGGGCACCGCAGGCCTGTGAGGGGCACCAGCGGCCTAGCAGGGCACCAGTCAACACAGGCCTGCCAGGGGCACCACAGACCTGCCAGGGGCACCACAGACCTGCCAGGGGCACCAGAGGCCTGTCAGGAGCACCACCGACCTCGCAGGGGTAACTTGGGCCTGTCAGGGGCACCACGGGCCTGTCGAGAGGCACTTCAGGCTTTTCAGGGGCACCATAGTCCTCTCCGGGCGCAGGGGTAGCAGGGGCACCAGAGGCCTGCCAGGGGCACTACAGGCCTAGCAAGGGCACCACTAGTCTATCAGGGGCACCACGAGCCTGTCATAGCCAGGCATCTCAGGCTTGTCAAGGCCCAGGGGCACCACAGGTCTGTGAGGGGCACCAGCGACCTAGCAGGGGCACCAGTCAACACAGGTCTGCCAGGGGCGCCACAGATCTGCCAGGGGCACCACAGACCTGCCAGGGGCACCAGAGGCCTGCCAGGGGCACCACAGGCCTAACAAGGGCACCACGGGCCTGTCAGGGGCACCTCAGGCTTGTCAGGGCCCAGGGACACCACAGTCCTTCCAAGGGCACCGCAAGCCTGTCAGGGGCACCAGAGGCCTGCCAGGGGCACCAGAGGCCTGCCAGGGGCACCACAGTCCTTCCAGGGACATTACAAGCCTGTCAGGGGCACCAGAGGCCTAGCAAGGGCACCACAGGCCTGCCACGGACACCACAGGCCTGCCAGGGGCACCACCGGCCTTGCAGGGGCGCCTCAGGCCTGTCAGGGGCACCACGTGCCTGCCGGGGACACTTCAGGCTTGTCAGGGGCGTTACAGTCCTGTCAGGGCCCAAGGGCACCAGGCCCGTGGTGTCCCTGCTAGGCCTGTGGTGCCCCTGGCGGTCCTGTGGTGCCCCTGTCAGGACTGTGATACCCCTGATAGGCCGGTGGTGCCCCTGGCAGGTCTTTGGGCCCCCGGGCCTCAAGGGGGGGGCATGACCCATGTGACCCCCCCCCCTTGGATCCGCCACTGCCGATGGGCGATGGGCTGGTCCTGTGGAAGGTAATGACGGTCCCCTCCATGCAAGAGATAGCGCAAACCTCTTTATTACCGAAGCACGGATTCGGGATTACAATAGGTATTCGGTGAACAGCGAAAGAGAGTGAAAGCTCTCAAGGAAAGCTCTGAGTGGCCTCTGGTGGTCATCCTATCAAGCGCTAGTTGATAGGTGTCGCCTTCGAGCTTTCATCATTCGTAACAGCTGCGCCGTAATCAGCAGCATGGTGCTTTGACGTGTCTGCTGGTTCTTGAGACATTTCTTTTGTTCTAGAGACTTAATGCAATAATACCGCAAGATTTATAGCAAATTACTGAGAAATTTTCTGAAAGTCCCCGTAACTTTTGAAGAGCTCTCGGTATTTCTTGAGACAAAAGTGATACGTCTGGATTTGGTAGCCAATATCGTAGTCAGCAGACTTGTGGAAACTTCATTGGTTTGCCGGTACGGATTTTGATGAAAGGTAAGCATTTTCAGTAAATTTAGCTTGTTTTACTCGTTCTATGAAATTGTGTCGACTGCTGAATAAATTGTCGCTATGTCCCCATCATTCAGGTTCTGAATTTGGTGCTCCAACAGCATCCTTAAGGTAGTTTTATCCGCAGGCGCTAGATTTGGATGGGAACTCAACCGTGAACCAAAGCACCGTATCATTGAATGAGGTCAAATTAATTCAATTTAATTGTAAGTTGAGCCTCAAACTTGAAACAGCTTTTGGTCTGTATCTGTCTACCTTATTTGAGTTGACTTTGAATTTATGATATTCCCATTGATTAAAAAAAAGTGTTCTGAATAACCTGATAAGTGTGGATAATCATAATTGATAATACAGTCTAATCTGATTTGCTGCAGGCAGTCAACATGACTTGGATCAGTGACAAGAAGCTCACCTGGTATGAGAGTGTATGCATGAATGTGTTGAAGACAGGCCAGGTGCCCAGACATGTGGCGTTCATCATGGATGGCAACCGGCGCTATGCCAAGCGGAACCACATTGAGAAGACAGAGGGCCATGCAAGAGGGTGAGTTTAAGACAAATGAATATTAGCACATGCTGCAGGTAGCTAATTTGTACTTGTGTTTGGTATTTTCTGCTGATTGAATTGACAACTATTGCAGTCCAGCTACACCCAACCCCGCGATTGATGGTTTGGATGATGGAGATTCTATGTTGTCCGGCCAATTACGCTCCATACCCACAGCCGAGCCCCCACTGATCCTTCACGGGATTGGCCGGATGACGTAGAATCTTCGCTGTCCGAGAGACATCGAATGCGGGGCAAAGTTCAGACATCACCGTTAGCTGTTGAACCCTGTGCTAACTTGTTGCCTCGTCGGCAGGTTCACAAAGCTTTCAGAGACTTTGAAGTGGTGTCGAGACCTGGGCGTTACCGAGGTCACCGTGTATGCCTTCTCGATCGAGAATTTCCGTCGGCCTCAGTCGGAGATTGATGGCATCATGAACCTGGCACGAGAGAAGTTTGAGCTGCTGCTCAAGGAACGGTACGACTACTGCGGCATTGCCTGACTTAAAAGCAATGGGGTGTGGTTGGGTAGGACAATTAGATGACACAGTGCATGGATGCTGGGATGCCTACATATGCTGAATCAAACATTTGGTGTTCTTGTGAGTTGTGGGTTTACATCATATAAAGCATTTTCATTCATTGGTGGATAAGATCACTCAATCATCTAGCAATTCAAGATTTGGTAACTGCAAACATTTTTTGTATGATTGGACCTACCGTCCAGCACCGCCGAAATATTGAGAACCTGATCGGCTACAAGTTACAGGCCATTATTTTTTTCCGAGTTGACCCGACCTGGCCCGCGATAACCTTGCTTCACCCGACTTAACTCAGTTTCACCAGATCTAACCCGATCTAACCCGACCTTACCCGACCCAACCCGACCCGACCTGAGTTCTGACCTGACGCGACCCTCTCTGACCCGCCAGTGACAAGCTGTCAGAGCACGGGGTGTGTATCCGGTTTATCGGCGACCTCAGTCTGCTGCCGGCCGATATCCAGCGTCAGACCGCCGAGGTGATGCTGATGACTCGCAACAACAAGGCAGCGAGACTCAACATCGCCTTCTCGTACACAGGTGGGTGACCGAGTGGAGAGCTGGTGAGGGAGAGTGGTGTGGGGAGAGGGGGAGGGGTAAGGTACCGTTTTTTTGGGGGGGCGGGAGAGGTGAGGGAAAGTGCCATCTCCGAGGGAGAAAGGGAGGAGATACCGTTTTAGTTACGAGGAATAGGAGAGGTGCCATGTCAAAGGGAAGAGAGGAGACGTTATGCTAGGACGGGGAATGGGAGAGGTGCCATGTCGAAGCGAGAAGAGGAGGAGATACAATGTTAGGACGAGGAACAGGACGGGTGTCATGCCGAAGGGGGAAGGGGCTTGGTCCGTTTGAAACTAGGCGAGGGGGCTACCATATTGTGTGGCCAGGGCCAGAAAGAGCCTGGAAAGAGATGTGACAGAACTGCTGCTATGTCGTCGTGGTAGCGAAACCGCAGTTGATAATGGAAAGCCGGCGAATAATGACAACGATGTGCTGGGGTGCCTGGGGTCGGATAGCCCCCAATCGTCAGAGCCGCGATTTTATGTGGTACGACATTTAGACGTGCGTGCGTGCGGTTTGAGTGGTTCCACGATGACTAGACGCCAGATTGACAGATTGCCGGCTACCTGACGCTATCATACGACTCTGGCAGATACTGGCAGTGACTTTGTTTCGTCTTATTGGTGGGCCAGGAAGCGTGGATGATGGCACGCAGGAAGCGAGGATAATGTTCAGACGCAGATTTAATGCACTGTGGTCCTCTTAGTCACTAAGTGCGTATATCTCCTCCATATTTCGCGGATTATCTGGACTGAATACTTTGTCTTCGTCTCGAACGACACTCGCCTTCGATTTACATAATCTGGTAGAGCAGTCGATCCTGTCGCTATCTCTGAACCAAAGTGTACCTCACGCCATCAGCAGTGCCTGCCATCCGTACTCACCACTTCCTAAATATACACAGACCCATATATCGCTGAGTGAACGTTTTCGCCTGCACGTTACCAGTGACCCCGGAGTTCAATGGGTCATAGTACATACACATCGACTCAGTGCGGTGCTGTCCACTCGGAGAGATCGGGCCGCCGGCACCGGTGAAAGGTCGACGTCAAGAGGCAAGGTGGAGCGCATCCCGCCCCCGGGTCGGGGATGGGGGGGGAGGGGGGAGACAGGCTGCACCGGTTAGCGTGACTGACCAGACGGGTTCCGGTGTCATCCTCACCCGCCAAACCGCATACTTACACTGACAATATCTACGATTCACATCAATCCATATGGTATATTTTATGCGTCAACCTATAATTAGATAAGCTGTTAGCTGGTGATGCGTTACATTCATCATAAATATATCGTACGCATACGAGCTATGAAATGTGCATTACGAGCAGATTCTGCGCTAAGTATGGCGATTCGCTTATATAGCTTACGCTTACTCTTATTCTGCTTACTCTTACTCTTTCTCTGCAGTGCTTACGCTTACTCTGCTATGTGTCTGCAGCAATGGAAGGCTTGTTTATCGCTAGGTACCTTTCACCGTTGCGCCTCCCTCACTCGGCCTCTGGCTGCGTATGATCGTCTGCCGTCCCGTATAATGCTGTCTCCGCGATGGGGCGCTATCGACTAATCTCCGTGTCTGTACCGCCTGCACGGTGGCTGGTGGCGGCACCACGTGAGCTGGCAGGGGAGCCGGGGGTGACTGTGCAGAGCGGTGACGGGGTTGGCCGACACCGTATCAGTCCAGGGCTGCGGAGTCGGAGTCGGTCGGAGTCGACAGTTGTGACCGAAGTCGGAGTCGAAGTCGGAGTCGATTTTAGAAACCCGAGCCGGAGTCGGAGTCGGAGTCACCGAAAATCTGTCGACTCCACAGCCCTGCTAGGTCTGCGGAGTCGGAGTCGGGAGTTTGAGTCGGTCGGAGTCGACAATTCTGCCCGGAGTCGGAGTCGGAGCTGGTTTTTGAAAGCCGGAGTCGGAGTCGGAGTCGCCGAAAATCCATCGACTCCGCAGCCCTGCGTATCACTGTGTCCGGCCGGGCAGCCCCAGAGTCAGCCGCGCTTAGCATGGAGAATGGTCTGGACACCGCACTGTGGGGGCGGGGAGCGCTAAATCGCGGTGAAAGGCGCCTGCTTGAAGTACGATTATGTGCTATGACATTAGCGGTGAGCATTGCTCACGTTATTTCATCAGATACGGAGTTATGAGCCGGTTGAGAATATGATGGTTGAGCCGGTTGAGAAGCTGAAGGTAGACGGTCCCAGTTGACTCAGTTGTAATGAGACGATTGTAAAATATATGCCATATCGTGTCTTGCTTACGAATTAGTTGCTCTTTTTCCAGTACCTTTCTTTGGGATCATTCAATTAGCGGAGTTCTAACTTCGGACACATCAAGCTTGTCGGTTCCAGATTGCATGCTTGCAAACTGGAAATAAATTTGACACTGCCGTCTTCCCATCTATCACATAGGCTGCCTATTGTAACCCGCTTTTTAACGTCATAACAATGAACGTGAACTGGAACGTCAATCTATCGAACCGTCAATGTCAACCGTCACCCGAGAGTTGCCTCTACCCTGTACAGCAGTTTTTGACCCTGCCTGACCGTCCCCCCCCCCTCCTCAGCGCGGGAGGAGATCTCGCGCGCTGTCCGTGACGTGGCCGCCGGCGTGTCGGACGGCCATCTTTGGTCCAGTGACGTCACGGAGCGGCTGGTGGAGCAGTGTCTGTACACGCGCGAGTCGCCGCGTCCCGACCTCCTCGTGCGCACGTCCGGGGAGGTGCGGCTCTCCGACTTCCTCCTGTGGCAGGTGGGTCGGCGCCGGGGTCACCGCAGGGGCGCGCCCAGGCAGCGCAGATGGGGAGGTCTATCGATGGGATGTTGGCAAAATGACGGGTGGGAAATGAGAAGTGAGTGTGGTTAACGTTAGGCTTATGTTACATGAGGAAAGGGTTGGTCATAAGTTTAGACCTTCGAAGTATCTGATCTCAGAAAAAAACCTTACCAAATCTTTTGCAATCATTTTGCACCAATATAAACTGAACAGTGATTTCGTTTTTTGCTAGGTAAAAGTGCCGGCTGATATTGACACCTCATTGGCTGCGCTTACTGACGCCACTTACCTGCTATCTGCGAATGATGTTACCGTTAACCAGACGGTGGGTCGTTGGGGATAATCCCTCAGGTTTTCAATGTTATCTTCCTTTTACATTCATGGCCCGCTGTGTTAATCCGAGCCTTTTTATCTGAAGTCATCCATAAATTCTATCAACGGACACTAACAGGGAACTTACTTTTCATTTGTGATGTTCCCGTGTGCGTCATTGTCGTAATCTGATATAATCGTTTCATTTATCTTCGATTGGCGTTAAAGGATGTCACCGGTAGTGTAAAGCCAGCTCGGCTGTCATTCCCAAAGGGGCTCATGATTCCATTTTCGTGGATTGACCTAGCCGATTGTTTACGTGGTTTTGGTGCTAATCTCTCAAGCTCTCAATAATCAGCTTACCTTATTAGTTGTGATTTTTGATGGTCGTTATCATAAGCCATCTAATTCTTCCCTGATTCAGGGCTATTTTTGTGACATCGACCAAAGCTTGACAATGAAGGACGTGGGTGGCAGATCAGCAAATAGTTTCCCGTATTCCGCGGATTTTTTTTTTTTTTGCCTGGTGCAGGGAGTTCAGCTAAAGAAGTGGCTATCTTTTACCAGTACTTATGGCCGCTATTCTTGGAATGGTGTATGATCCTGATTTGCAATTAAAGTATTAAATGTCCTGTGTTGCAAGGTAACATTTTCAATTACCGACGTGAAGCAACTGCAGCTAACGCAATATGTTAGAGAGAGAGAAAAAAGATGAAAGCGAGGCGACCGCTTCGTTCAATCTATCATGCGTTCCATATTAGTAAAGTAATCTTGCGTTGCATAGATCGGTTGGGGAGGCCTACCGGTAAAGGCAAGACTCTTGGTCAGTCGTTGACGTGGTTACAAAGTATTCAGCGTGTAAATAGAAAAAAACGTCATCATGGCAACTATACCTGAAGCTTTCTATTTATCTGGCTCACTCTTTCTCTCACTCTTTTGCCCTCGCTCCTTCTGTCCGTCCATCCGTTGTTCCTGCACCTGGTGACCATCCCCAAATGCCTCTAATCATTTGAAGTTCGGGCGCCCTAAAATCACGACTTATCATCAAATGCCTCTCTCATCGGCAGACGACGCACACGTGCATCTTCTTCACGGAGGTGCTGTGGCCCGACTTCAGCATCTGGCACCTGTTCTCCGCCGTGTTCACCTACCAGCGCAACTATGACGTCATCCAGGTGAGCTCGCCGCCCTGATTGGCGGGTAGCCGAGTCTCGGTTTCCGGAGGAAGGGTGAAACGCAGGCGTATCACGGGGAGCTGAGGGAACCCGTAACAATTCACCGCTGTGCTGCTTTGTGATAAATCGGCATGTAATGAAAAATGAAAGAAGACAGTGAGCATTGTTTTTTATTTGCGTCATCGATTAATTGATATGCTGATATGGTCGTCTGGTGATCGTTTAATCTTCTTTCAGTGACCGTTGTTGAACGTAGATCTGACGTAAAGTGACACTGGTACAGTAAAAGAATCAAACCGTAGGCAGATGACTGAAGGTGGCCTCAGTGTTTCCCCACTGACCGCTGACGTGTCCTGACCACAGGCGGCACGGGCCGACCGCTCCCTGCGGCGGCTGCAGCACTCAACGGACGGCCTCCTCCCGGGCACCGCACGGCCCGGCGACTCCGTGACTCGGCCCGGTGACTCAGCCGGAGAGTCACTCGACTCCACCGACTCTGGCTCCGAGTGTGCGGCCGATGACCGGGTGGACTCTGCCAGCCAGTCTGCCGCTGCTCAGAAGCGGGTGCAGTCGTTCCTCAGCCATCTAGACGCGGCGCGGTGGGGACGTCTGGAGAGTCTGGTGGCGGAGGGCTCGTGATGATACGCCGCGCGCCGCTCTAGGTTCAAATAGGGGACGCTGCTGGCCCTGCTCCGGTGAGCAGAACACCTCTGGTGCCGAGGTTTGGGCCGAGGACCGGCCTGCCTCGCTTGGGAGAGACCCGTGGATCACGCTGGCCGGTGATGCACGTATGGAAGCCGAGCTGAAACTGCGGCACAGTCTGGACAGATACCACACGGTCGGGCAGGACGGTGCCAGAGGGGACCTGTTACTACACAAGGGGGTATGCTAGGAGCGCCGGTGTTGTTGAGGGCAAGGCGGTATTGACTGGGAAATAGTGGCAACTCGGGACTGGGCCACTTTGAGACTAGGGACGGCAGCAGCAATGGGAGAGGCCAGCTGAGTGATAACTGCCGCCCCGACAATGATAACGGGACGGAGACGGCCACCACAACGAGAGGGGAAGATATCATTATATTTGTCAACTGAAACGTGCCCTGATTATCAGATGATCTAGCTAGACGGCTATATTATTGACGAGGAATGTCCTGAGTGGTTTCGGGATGAGCAATGTACCCTTCCACAGATCGTTATCGGTTGGTAGCGGATGGACAGTATGATTGTTGCGTCGGACGCACATTTGGGGTGGGCGGAGCGCCAAAGGCCGGACTGTGGGTATCCTGGCGAGCGGTGATGTGAGTGTGTGATGGCGTGGGACCGCCGGTTGTGAGGGCTTGCAGCACAGGGGCCAAACATTCCAGTACGAGGTTGGGGTGGGGCTTGCTGAGCGTGTGATGTACCCGGGAAACGATCAACTGTCTGTTAGAATTGATGAGCAGTTGCTGTTTGGGGACGCGTGCTTGCTGTGTGTTTGCTGCAGTGAGGTATGTTGGTTAGCTTGTGCTGGAGTGTGAGGACCGAATGTTGTTACTTGGTGAACAGACCCGACCCCAATGACCGTTCTCTGATCAGCGCTCGGACCATGCCACTTTTGATGTGTTTACTTTAGCTAATGCCAGGATCAGCGTAGCCCGTGACCTGATATCCACTGGTTGAACCATTAGTTGATAGTATACCGTACAGGGTACCGGGGCATACTCCGAATAATTGTCCAAAACAGCGGCCATTTTCCTTTTTTCGAGTTATTTGTTCTTTTCTCTTTGAGATTATTTGTGTTAATTCATGAAATGCGCATTTAGGTCAGTTTACTTTGTTTTGTTTTTGTTGTGCTTTGGGGCTCGAAGATAATATTTTTTTTCAATGTTGTTCGCTTGTTCAGATATTGAATATTGCTGCCAATGTCGCACCCGAAATCACTGTTACCGTTGCTTTGGTTGTAGTGGGTTTCCTCAGCACCAGCCGCCGTGTGCTTGGTATTTAAAATGTTTTTGATACTATATCACATCGCCTGGACCTCAAAATCGCATGCTATCTACTTTACCGAGGTAATAATTGAATCTGAGGAGCGTCGCGTTTGAAATCCCACGTCCGGACTTGTGCTGGTGGCTGGCACAGGCCGGGGCGGGGTCATGGGTTAAGCTGTGCGAACTGTGGCAATGAGGAATCAGTGACAGCAGACCTGATGTGCTCCTGGTATTGTTACGGACAGATACAGTGAATGGCAACTCGTCTGTGTTTGAACCAGGGGGCTGAAACGGGTCACATTTATTGGTAACTTACACCAACTGGACAATAACAGACGTCTCTGAACAAGGCCATCATGTTACGTTCTATGCTGCTCGTTGTACAACAGCTTATCTTTCAACGGGCACACTGCGCGTACGCCAAATATACTCAGCGAGACATCGCGCGGACAACTGTGATGTAGCACACGGTGTCTGTTTGGAATCACTCTGGCAGTAACGTCATGAAGTGGTACCATGTTCCACAGTAATGCATGCTCGTGCCGTGGAAGGCTCTCCTGTCGTGCGCTCAGTCATATCCGTGGTTCCTGCTCCGCAGAGACTGCACGCTGGCATGGATGGCAGGGATGACCGGCACCGTCTCCCGCACGTTCAGCGCCACGTAGCAGCTGACCGAGAGCGCCGCCATCAGCACCGCCAGCGCCAGGCCGCACAGACAGTATACCAGAGTGGCCAGCAGCCGGAGCCGGCGCCGGACCAGCGAGCCGCAGCCGCGCCGCTGCAGGAGGGGATGTTCAGCCAGCTGCGCCGTCGACAGGCCCGAGAAGCGGCAGCGCGCCGGCGTGGCGGCCGACGGCGTCTCGTCGCGGCAGCACGATACCGGGATCGAGGCGTTCACAGAGACGTAGTCGCCGTAGCCGAGCACGCCGCAGCAGCGGAGGCAGCGCTGCACGGCGTGCACAGCTCGCCACGCCGGCTGCACGTCCAAGTCGTCGTTGATGTTGCCGCGTCGACGGATCAGCTCCAGCGCGGCCAGCTCCGTGCGCCGAGGAGCGGAGCGCTCAGACCAGATGACCACAGCGAGTGTAGCGATCAGGAGCAGCAGCAGGGCGCCCAGCACGCAGGCCTGGGTCAGCAGCAGCGAGCGGCTGCCGCGCGCCACCCCGCAGCAGCCCAGCAGGCCCACCACCGCCAGCAGGGCGCCGGCTGTCGTCGCCAGGATGACGACCGTGGTGGCGACGGCCGTCAGCACCGCGGCAGGATCGGCGTCAGCGCTGGTCACGTGCCCAGCGCTGGTGACGCGCAGCAGGAACGCGCAGTAGCCGCCGCCAGCGGTCAGCAGCACGCCCAGCAGCGTGAGCAGCACGTCCAGGCCGAAGGCGGCCAGCTTCAGCGCGCGCAGGACACTGCCGCTGCCCATTTTGGTGGCTGAGGTTCGTTGAATGGTGAGTGTGATCTCAGTGGGGTCGACAACCGACGTGGAGGCTACTGACATGCCATGCAAGCCAAGGAAGCGCTACGCTGCAGTGTGTTTAGCTGTCATTTGTCAACTATCATTTTAGTTTAGTTGAGAAAGCTGATTATATCAAAACGTTATATCAAAACAATACAGATAAGCATAAGGTTAAGGTTCTCTGGATAAGCAGCATACGATAAATCTGTTGACGTTCTGCACTTGCCGATCAATAATTTGCATGAATTGCAATACCTGCGTAACAAGCACGTGCGTTATCTATCATGGTGTTCCAGACTATCACGAGTCACCACGCAAGCCGATAGGCAAGTGGAATGTGGGCGCTCGATGATGGGTCGGTACGTGATGATTCCGAACCGTGATGCGTTCCTGGCTAAGGCATGTGGATATGCGTCATTATTGGGAGAGCCGAGAGAACAGGTAGGTATGACGAGGGTTCTTTTCATGAGACCGGAATAGAAGTTATAATATGTTTGTTGTGGCCTATGGGCGGTCTTTCAGCAATCCCGTGCAGATATCTACCTATTGGAATTGCAACACACCGTATCATCAACGAACACGACTTTATTTGGTTATGACTGAAATAACATCAGCAGATATAGAACATCACGCTGCTGATGAAACACAATCAGATATCGAAAAACTTCGGACACGATGAGGTGATAGCTTTTTCAGAAACATATCACTTATAGGAAAAGAAACGAAAGGCACGAAACCATCCCCTTTACATTTCACGTGGACGTTTGAACTACACGGCTCAAAGTTAACAAGCAATTTCGTCCCTTGTTTTACTATTAGGATAAAGCTTCTGTGACGACTAAGGGCGTCAATTCAATATGTCCGTCGGGATGCTCCTAACAAGCTACAACTTCGCAGTGTAGCAACTGCTGTCCACTGCCCAGAGCAGTGAGCTTAGTACAAAACACACGTTCGCGATATCATGAAAGAACGCATGCACCACCATGTCCATCACAAGGCTACCTTTGGCATTATCAGGCGGACACCTCTCCACTTGCCGTCTGCGGCGTGAAGAAGCACTGCGCCTGCGCGGTGACCTCTGCACCCAGCTGCTCCTCCTCTCCCCCCGGCATGAAGGCCGGCGTGAACTCCCGCAGGGCCAGGCAGACGCGTCGACCGGTGATATCCGAGCGCAGGATGCCGTGGAGCCACTCGTAGCGCGCTTCTGCCTGCATCACGAGCAGCGAGCGGGCCGGCATCGGCAGGCGCACCGTCGGGGGGCGACTGAGCTGGTGCCAGAGCAGCGGCTCCTGTGCCGACGGGGCTGTGGTGGAGGGAGGGATGGACGTACCCGATGTGCCGCCGTTGGATACTTTGCTGTCTTCACTAGAGATAACATTGGCGATGTTGGGAGTTGCTGAGACATCACCAGATCCGTTCTCTGTAGGGACAGATGTCTTCATTTTCGTCTCGTCTTCGTGGTTTGGCGAACCAGTGCTGTGAGGTTGGTTCGGCAGGTTGTACCTACACGCTGGTTCGTAGGTCATGTTATACTTATCCTGACCACCCGTGTACTTCACCATAGTGAGGACAGAGTCACTCAGAAGGCTCAGCGTTACGACCCGCTCGCCCCACACCCAGCAATCATCGATATGTGGCGAGATGCACGAGCCCTCATTAGCCCTGTACTCGAGGGAGCACTGCTCGATCGTCTGGTATCCCGCAAGCACCGGCTCGCGAGTAAGTCTCTCCTGAACGCGGCGGCCGAACTCCGGAAAACCTTTGAATGAGCCCATCTTCAGCTTACGACGATTAAAATTTGTCTTTGGACCAAAGTTCTGCTTGCGACGGCCGCTTTGTGACAGATCCCAAGGAATCGCGTCAATGTCAGACATCAGCTGACGTTCCTCTTCTTCAGAGATGATGTCCAGGACGATGTCCACACCGGGATAGTGGAGAGGGCGTCCCTCGTGGTGCGGGTGGGAGCGCCACGAGCCTCCGTCCCAGCCCGGCCAGGCGAGGCGGCACAGTGGGCAGAACACGTAGCTAGGAGCATCCTGGGGCCGAACGAACGGCTCGTAGGCAGTCGAGGAGAAAGGCTCACACCGAAAGCACGTGTTCTGCCCCTTGCAGCCACAGCTGGGGATGTTGACCGCCATCTGACGCGGCGAGACACAGCCGTTGTCCTGAAACACATCACCAATTTTCGTATGAGGCAAGATGTGAAACAAGTAAAGTTTTAAATAATTTTCGAGGAAAGGCTTTGCTCTAGAGGACATTTCACTATTTTGATATATTAAGCTCTGTAATCATGCCAAAATGACGTTATTTCGCATGGTAGCATGGTAGCAATGGCATGAGGTCTGCAACTCTCAAGATGTTTAAGATTAACCTAACAATTACCAAGAACCATGCCACAGACCATCACAGACCTACATCAATAAAGAAAAAGCCAATCGTAAGAAAAGCACATTAACCGTGACAAGCACCAAACAAGCAGAAAGCATGCGCCCTCACCCAGCTGTTGTGCAGCGCCATGCAGCAGCAGGACCGTAGAACCACGTGTTGGAACCGAGTGGAACCCACCCGACCCCCGTCGCTGCTTAGTCATGGCACCTACAGTGAATCAACCTTCTGACAGCTGGCTGGTAGTCACAGGTACCCGTAACTCTGCCCTTTCGTCCAGCAGAGAGCAGCGTGTGGAACGGACGACGTGACGAGAGGTTCTACACATCGCCATGTGGTGTTCCTCGTGTCCCATGCGTCCAATTCAGGAACCACAACAAAAAGAAACGTTAGGAACAAAGTGTATTAAACTTGATTAACAAAACATCTGCGCCTGACGCAACACAACGGAAGACTTCACATGAATATAATATACATACGCTATAGGTACACAACACACTCAATGAACACACAAATCTGCGATAACCGATTCATGGAGCCTGGATTGGGCTCAGCTTCGATCGCGTCACGGACATGGACCCTGACTTGGGCTCAACTTGGATCGTGTCACGGCAACCCAGTCTTTGGGGCTATTTTAGCCTACTGCTCGCTCACGGTAAGCTTGTAACTATGAGCCGTGTTGTCCCAGTAGTTCAGCACGTACAGCCTGGCTCCTTGGAGGCATATGCCCGACGGCCGGTTCAGCTTGTGGGACGTCGAGACACATCCTCGAGGGGTCCCATCCGACGCGAAGACCACGATGCGGTGGTGTTTCGAATCCGCCACGAGCAGGTTGCCGGCAGCGTCGAGCGCCAAGCCTGCCGGGTCGTAGAGTCGCGCTCTAGGACCGACATCTTCGCCAACTCGAGCCACTAGACGACCTTCCCAGTTCAGAAGGAGCACCACGTTGTTACCCAGGTCGGTAACAGCGAAGCGCGTCTCACTTGCCGCGACGAAGTAGAGCTTCGACGTTTCTGGCTGGCGGACATGCTGAGAGATGTCGACCGAGTGCACGGGACGACCCTCGCCAGATGGGCTCGCGTCAAACACGTGCACCACCGGCTTCCCCCTGATCGCGTCGACGGTCACCAGCCGTTCGCTGCTGGTGACGGCTAGTCCGAACGGCCGCTTCAGCAGACCACCACCCAGGTCGTAGAGCAGGCGCACTTGCCCCTCCGACGGCACGGAATACACCCGGACGCCCGAATCAAACCTTACGGCCAGCCGGTCCTCGCTTAGTACCGCCAGGGCCGAGGGTCGCCGTAGCGACGGGATCGGCGACTGAAGCTCGGCACCTGAGTCAGAGAAGGCGCGTACCTTGTCGTTTCCCGTGTCGGCAACGTACAGAACATCGCCTTTTGCAGCAACCCCGATCGGGTGCTTGAACAGAGGAGTTGGACGCAGCAAGAGGTCCAGTTTCGCGGAGACGGAGCCCTGAGCGAGGTTAGGTGGCGCAGCAGCCACCGCCTCCAGATCGTCAGAGGTGACCCTCACGGTGCGCAGAGGACGTGGAGCAGTCACGCGCACCTGAGACTGTTTCTGTGGCGGAGCGCGCTCACCACGTCCGGAGCCTACCGAATCTGCCGAGCCGAGAGCCTCACTGGTCCCCGCGGACTTTGACACTGGTGTCTGGCTTCTGCTCTGCGGCTTCTTCGCCCTGCCCTGATCGTCACGTTCCGTGGCCAGACCTTTGTCTTCATCCCACTGCCGGCCTGGCTCTCCGTACGATACGACGCCTTCACCCTTCCCCACAGGACTGCCGCCGGGGATATCAAAAGCCCTACGGAACTCCTCTACGACCTTCTGGGTGTTCGACTCTGTCACCAACCTTTCAGGACTGCTGGACTTGCTGTTCTGCTTCACGGTGACCTGTATGACGGGCGCAGCAGAAGCTTCCGGTGCAGTGGACACTGGCCTCCGGAGACTGTCGATCGGCTCACCGGGGATCGACATCCGACTGAAGTCAGCCGACAGACTCGTGGTGGTAGAATCGGCGACAGAGCACGGCCTAGCGTCCACGTCAGGCGGCTTGGATAGCCCAGCACTGGCACTCATGGCCGCACTCCGAGCAGAGCTTTGCAGGGAGCTGGACACCGCGCCAGCGACGGTGCTCTTCTTCAGAGGTGGCGGAGCTACTGGCCTCCTGACCTCACGCTTAGCGCTCTGGACTGGACCATCCCCCGATCCGCCGCTGACAGCCGAACCGTCCAGCGACCGCATCAAAGCGGCGCGGATCCTCGTGGCCGTGTCATCATCGTTGGGCACATCACGCTCGGTCTTGTCTTTGGATCTCTCGTTTTCCTCAGCGTTGAACAGATGAGCGTTCCAGTCGGCGGACTCACCGTTGTTGTTGTTGTTGGGATCTAGGCCTGTGTGGCGGGGCAGGCGCAGCCGACCACTCCCCGCCTGCGGGCGGCACACCGGCCTAGCCACGGCGCCACCCTCGACAGCCATGAGAGCCTGCGCGCTCGGCTGCGAGATCTCCCGTTCCAGACGGGCGCGCATCCATCCCACAAAGTCGCCCTCGTAATCGGCCACGTCTCCTAGGGAATCCACCGTTTGCGACGACGAGTCTTTCACCGCTGCGCTGCCGCTAGAGCCTGCCACACAGATGCGCATGGGACTGCCATTGATATGCACGCTGTATAGGTAGACGGACACCACGTGTGGCCCCGGGGCTGCGGCGCGAAACGTAGCCGAGAAGCACCCGTTGTGACCGTCCACCCAGACAACTTCTGTGACTTCCTTCCCATGTTCGTTCAGCACACTGTACGACATGTGGGTTACAGTGGCCGCATCGTAAGGTCGCTCACTCTTTGCGCTGAACGTGACAGCCAGCCCATCGGCTGCCACCTCCTCTAGCGTGAGGTCTGTCGGGCAGAGCGAGCATGTCTGCAGGTAACCCACAGCTAGCCTGGAGCGAGCCCAACGGTCCGGTGGCACTTCGCGGAACGTGAAGTGCAGCAATTGATCGGGCTGCACCTCCCGACTCTCGGCGATGTACCTCTCGAGGACATCTGTCACGGCCGGCGCGGCGGCGGCGGCGGCCGGGTTCAGCCGTAGCGCCTCCAGCCGCTCCAGACTCGTGTGCAGTCCAACTGACGCGCGCCGCACCACGGCCAGCTGATCCTGCAGGAACTTGGCCTTGTTCACAAACTGTACGTCAATCACCTGCCGGAAGGCCACCTTCCAAGTGGAGACGGCCTCAGTGTGACGCGTGACTGCATCCTCCAGTGCACGCTTCGCCGCGTCCTGGTTGCCCTGGAGGATGCAGAGCACGTTTTTAAGTTTATCAGCACGCGCTTGGTTCTCGCGGAGGACCCGCTTCGCTCGTGCCGCGGCGGCGTCCAGAGGATTGCTCTCGTCGGTGGCAGAGTCCATCGTCCGGCTGTGGTGGTGGGAGGCAGCAGCAGACTGTTAGCCATGCAGCAGGCAAAACCCAACACCAAACTGAGATAAGTGTGTACACAAACATTCAGTGGTTCAGTTACCCTTGTGCCAACATACAGAGGTGAGGGAGAGGGTAAATAAGCATGCATGTCAAATGCCACCACAGTAGATTAAACCCACCAAAAAGCAGCCAAGTATAAGGTATGAGAATGTGCTAGGTTTTGTTAGTTCATTATTCATGTCAATGCTGTCTCTTAAAATATGAAGCAAGCTAGCAATTAAGCTCATTTGAACACGAACATTGTAGATCAAAATACAAAACAAAAACAAGAAATGTAAAAAATGTGAAGGAAATGATGTCCCTGCACAGCTTTTGAAAACACCTATGATCAAATGAATGAATGATGAGGTGTTCTTAGCTTTAGCATGCGTGGGTGGGCATTTTTGGCCATGCCAGCCAGTTTCCAGTGCGTGTAAAGAAAAATGTGGTGCACAGCAATGCAAAATTTAGCATGGCTTATCATATATTGATTTTGCATAACATGCAGGATTTTGGACCCCAGGTCACCTTAAAGGAAAAGGGCCACCTTCGTGAAATATGAAGATATCGTTGCTTTTCATTTAGACTATTTTTCATTTTCTTTTTAAAACTGGTGCCAGAAGTGCACAATTCGCGAAAAAGTATTTAAAACTATTTAACATATTGGTACTATTATGTTGATACTCTCTACGGCACCTACTGTATGATGGCATAGCGATGACGTCACACCCAAGCCAATCAGCGTTCAGAAGACAGACTCGTCGGATTGTGTCAGATAAGCTGATTGGTTAAAGCTGAGCTGGTTGGAGCTGATTGGTAAAAAACCAAAGCCTCGCCGCAGGTGGCTGTATTGTCGGATAAGAACGCATTCCTGGGATAAGGACGCATTCCTGGCGTATTTTCTTTTAAAATTGCCGATAACTACGAATGGAGGCCGAAATCGGCCGTAAGGAGGTAGACTGATAGGTTTTCAGACACGGGCTACAAGATGGCTATCTCAGTTTCAATCCCCATGATAAAGGTGGCCCTTTTCCTTTAAGTGACCATGCCTCTAAAAAAACAAAAAAAAGTTTTGGGCATATACCTATCAGAATTTTGATACAGGTGATAAGACTGCTCTAAAATTCTGTTGGTAAAAAGCTGAAGCTCACAAAAAACGAGCAGCGCGTGTTTTTAATGAACCATTGGAAAGCAAAATGGCATAAAACTGGAACTCCATTTCATGACATTCCCCTTGATTTCTTTTTCAATTTGAATTTAGTTAGAGCGTGATGGTGCTGGCATCCCTAGCGATAAAAAACGGATAAGGCTCGAGAAAGCACAATAAATCTATGGGCAAAATCATTCACATCAACACCAAACAACCAACAAATAAACGGAAAACCAATTTGAATTACCGACAAACAACCCACACCCACCTGACACGTGCGCCGTTTTGTTCCACGCTGAAGTGTAGGCTGCTGCTAAAAGACGCAAGTTCAAAGGACACAGGTATGGCTATAAGTCACGTGATTTTTATCAAGTATGCTCTTAAAGACATACAATTTTATGTATATCAGAATCTGTAGAACCTACATTTATTTTTGTATTGTTTTACATGCTTAATATATTCTCTTTGTAGATTTGAAAAAATGAATTAAATAAGAAATAGTGCATGAAAGCAGATGCTTATTTTAACGAATCACGAGCAGAGTCGCGCTACAAGTGGCAACTCTTTCTATACATTTATGGCGCGACAGTTGATCGTCTTGCTTGCGAGGGTAAACGTTGTTATAAGGACTACCAAAAGTATTTTTTATATATTTCAGTAGTTAATTGGAACAATAATAACCCAAATGACAGAACAATTAAAGAAGTTCAGGTTAAAAAGTGAATTTTGTCAATTGTCATTTTAGGGCATGATCGTGAAAGCTGCATTGAAGTCAAATCAAAATGATGCTTTAGCTTTGGATTGGAAATGGACCCATTCCAATTCTTAAGTCTGAAAATTTATTCATTCTTTATTTATTATGAAGGACAAAGACGGCTCTGTTGTCTCAGATAGCCAGAAGATTGCAAACATCTTGAACAGTTTCTTTGGCAGTGTCTTCACGGTTGAAGGACCTGGCGCTACACCGACTCTAGACGGCAGCTTCAACGGTCCGTCACTGGAAGATGTCGATGTGTCTCCCCAGAAGGTTGAAGCAAAACTGGCTGCACTTAACCCACGAAGCTCCCCAGGGCCTGACAGTATCCGACCCAGTGTACTTCGTAACTCTGCGAGCGTCTTATCTTACCCCCTCAGTCTCCTCTTCAGGAAATCTATGGACTCTGGATGTCTACCTGCAGAGTGGAAGACAGGGGAGATAACGCCCATCTTCAAAAAAGGAGATCGTCAGGAGCCAACAAGCTACAGACCCGTGAGTCTCACTGCAGTGCCATGCAAAGTGCTTGAGTCACTGGTAAGGGACAGCCTACTTGCACACCTAACCTCAACTGGCCAGCTACATCAGGCTCAGCATGGGTTTCTCCCCAAAAGGTCTTGCACCTCACAGCTCCTGGGGGTGATTGAGGACTGGACTGCTGCCATGGAAGAGGGAGTTCCTGTTGATGTGGCGTACTTAGACTTTGCCAAGGCATTCGATTCGGTACCACACAAGCGACTCCTAGGCAAGTTGAGGTCTTATGGTGTGTCGGGTCGACTCCTGAACTGGATCCAGGCCTTCCTGTTTGAGCGCCTTCAAAGGGTGGTTGTTCGGGGATGCAAGTCAGCCTGGGCTCCAGTAACAAGCGGCATTCCGCAAGGCACCGTCCTCGGTCCTGCACTTTTCACAGTGTATGTGAACGACATGCCAGCACAGGTCACCAACACAGTGAAGATGTTCGCAGACGATACCAAGCTGTACTGCAAGATGACTGCCAACCACGATGGCCTGCAGGACGACATCGACGCTCTGGTCCGCTGGTCGGAGACATGGCTGCTCCCCTTCAATGGTGCGAAGTGCAAGACCATGCACCTAGGCTTCCACAACCCAGACCGCACGTACCACTTGAATGGAACTGCTGTCGCCACCTGCGAGGAGGAACGAGACCTAGGTATTATCATCGACAGGCAGCTAAGATTCCACAAGCAGACAGCCGCTGCCGCCGCCAAGGCTTCACAGATACTCGCAGTGATCCGTCGGTCGTTTGCGAACCTGGATGAGTTCACTTTACCTCTTCTTTACAAGGCCTTAGTCCGACCCTTCCTCGAGTTTGGGAACGCCATCTGGGGTCCATTCTCCAAAGAAGACCAGAAGAGACTGGAGAGGGTGCAGCGACGCGCGACCCGCCTGATCACGGACCTCAGAGACCTGCCGTACCCTGACAGACTTCGCCGCCTCGGCCTCCCATCGCTGCACTACCGCCGTCGTCGTGGAGATATGGTGACCGTGTACCAGCTCTTCCACGGACTTCTGGATGTGCCGCTTGAGTCACTGCTGACGAGACACGAAGCGCAAAACACGCGAGGCCACCAGTGGAAGCTGAGGAAGCCAAACGCCAAGCATCTTTCTCGCAGGAACGCGTTCAGCGTCAGAATCATCAACGATTGGAACGCCCTGCCAACAGACGTTGTCGCTGCTGAGTCGCTGTCGTCTTTCAAGGCGCGGCTGGACCGGCACTGGTCGAGCGTGATGTTCGACATCCCTACCCTGTACTAAGGACCATAGCCTCTCCGATTATGCCTTTCACTCGATACGAGCGGGACCCATAGGCCGAGTGGCCTTATAACCCGATGACCAACTAAGGTAAGGTAAGGTAAGGTATTATTTATTTTGTCCGAACGTTTTGAATGAAGGGATTCACACGGACATAGCCCCTGCTAAGCGGAGCTTGTTGCGTTGCTGCCCTCTACCTTCCGAACATGCAATTCCTTGTTCATGGCAGAATTCAGAGTCCAAGGTTTAATGTACGCACTAAGCTGCGTCACTGGGTGGCCGCTCCACCTCTGAGTTTAGACTCAGTGTGGCTCGCCACTCGCCAATTCGAGTAGGTACACAACAACCGGGGCAGGGACGTCTCGTCACGGAATTTTTCCAGAGCTGCCCGCAGGGCAAATCTGCTGCTAGCTTGATCAGCATGCCGATTAATTTCGCTGACCATCTTTCTCCAAAGAATTCCATGGAGCCGCCCTGCTCCAAAAATTCAGCCGTCACTGTGCGCTGAATTCAGCGCATGCGAAGTTACGCCGGACGTGCGCTGAAATTTTCGGCGCAATCCCGCTACTAGGCCAGACATATTTGGCATAACATGTATTTTTTGCAGTCTGGTCAGGAGGCTCATAAACATTGAGCACCCATCACGCTCAAACCTGGACTGTTGTAACCAGGACCATGTGCTCTCACCATGCAGAGTCCAATGCTCTACCAACTGAGCTACAGGAGCGGCTCCAGTGCTGCAGCCTGGAAACGAGGCCGCTTTCTTGTCCCTGCGTTTTATTCTCTGGGTGGGTTAATCCCGTCCAGCGTTAAGCCTTTCGGGACCCACTCAGGGTCGCGGTTGTTTTCGCCACTCACCCCAGTCGAGATGCACAGTTAATAGTCACACAAAGCTTATTTAGGGCCAGCCAAACCAGCCTAGTCTGGAGTTGCTCCTAAATATATGCATATAGATAAAAGAAGTAGGTTTTGTAGAATCGATTGATTTCAAAGTCGTACATTCAGATGCCCCGAAAAAAACTTCATGTGACTATCAATTTTGCATCTCGAATGGGCCGAGCAACTGAGAATGGACAACCGCGGCTTTGAGAGGGTCCCGAAAGGCTAAGCGCTTGACAGGGTTAACCCACCCGGAGAATAAAACGCCGGGACCAGAAATCGGCCTCATTTCCAGCACTGACTGGCTCATTCAATGAATGCTATTTAAAGCATTTGTTAATAATTTCTGAACTGATACTCTATTCTCACTGCTGTTTTTTCCTCCAGTAGTGTTCTCTGCCTTGGGCAAAACTAGGTATTTGGTGCAACTACCATGTTTTGTTTGCTTACCTACATCTGATATTGGCCGAGGCCTGCAGACTGGACGTGTGTTGAAGAGTGCCAGTTTCAACCCATCCTAGTTTGTGACCTTCAAAGCGCTGTTTCATGGCATACTTGTTTGATGGTATTGGGCATTGACACTTTTGTTTCTGTGGAAACAGAGTCATCCCATGACTTACAAAAATCAGCTCATAGGATTGTGGATGAGCCTTGAAGACAGCTGTTTCAAGTGCAGCCACAGGAATATTTTGTGAGGAAATCAGCTCTTTGTAGGCTGTACAGTAGTCAATTTATGTGGCACCAATAATATTAAATTGAGAGAAACATGTATACGTATAGGGGAAGGTGGGGTAAGACGGACCAGCTAAGGTTTGAGGCCGCATATCTTGCTACACTGCTCTCGTAATTCATATTATTTATAGTCTTCGGAATGCTCAATCCTTCCTCTGTTGATATGTGTAAAGACTAAATTTCAAATTAAAGACATCTAGGTGGTGGATGCTGTTAAAGAGGGACATGTCAAAAACTCAGACAAGAAAAAACGTGGGGTAAGACGGACCACCCAGCAGTGCCTGCTATCCGTTCATGTGTGTTACACTTCTGCTCTGTATTCTTGTAAGAAAAAGTAACCAGAATGGTAGAATAACAAAATGAGCCATTATTCTTTACTCATGTGTGATGGAAGTGCAGCTAAAAGCTAGGAACATATGTGTTGATTGTCGTTTGGCATGAATGCATGCTAACTGAGCACTTGCATGCATGGCTCACATGCAACAAAGACTTCTTCCTGAAAAAATAGCTTACTTAAACTTGTGTCAATGTTTTGAAAAAGAACTTTCCATATACAGGGTACAATGGACCACCACAGGGTAAGATGGACCACAGTGGTCCGTCTTGCCCCAAATCTAAATTATGTCATTATCATGACGTATATGTCAAATAGCCCAACATTGCAAAACCTTGCCTTTCCTAAAGTGTGACTATAACTAAGTTTATAACTTTGTTCTTCACAGTTAAGTGCAAAATAGAAACTAATCATGCAAGAAAGGCGCCGTAATTGAATCACCCGTAGACCTCTTATATTAGATCGGTTTGACGAAAAACAACATTTTTCTCAATAACTCAAAAGCTATGCATCCTAGCAGCATGAGCTCAAGGTGGCCATTGTTCCGAAGGAAAACAAACATAGTGAGTGCATAAAGCAGTAGATACCAGCAGCGGTTCAGCCGGGAGGGCTGGTGGTCCGTCTTGCCCCGCTGGGCCGTCTTACCCCACCTTCCCCTACATGTATCATTTTTGCATTGTGTGCGATTTTTTTTTTTTGGCACCAGGTCACATAGGTCAAATCACCAGCACAGGTTAAGTTTGTTCCTCATATTTCTAGCTTGCTTAGTTTTTGAGTAAACTGGGTGTGACCAAATGTGCACCACCAGGCTCCCTATCCTGGTGAAGCTGGTTGAGACCCCAGCCAGGTATGGGGGCAAATGACTTCAATTGATTAGTAATTATTAAACCACTAATTGCTCATTTTGGAGCTGGATATGATAACATTAGTATTACGCTTTACATGTTCCAGTGTTGTGAATAAGTGACATACCTCAAGCTATAAGAAGTGGGCAGCCATGCTTGAGGACAACAGTTCTTCAGATGAAGAAATCTCAGCCCTGCTCCTGTCTGACCCATGCTATCGGAAGTATGCTGCTCTGAAGAGAAGATGTCAGGCTGTTGACCAGGTAATTTGATACATACAATTGTTTTCGTTATAAACTGGCGAAGTTCTCTGTTACAATAAGATAAAGGCATTCTGTTTGTCATCCATTTACAAGGCTTGGCTAATAAGATGTTGTATTTATTTACCGTTCTTTCCATCTGCAGGAGAACCAGCGGCTGGTGGGCCGCGTGTACCACGTGCAGCGCCAGGTGCGTCTGGCGCGCCGCCAGTGCCGTCTGGTGGCCGCCCGGCTGGAGCAGCACGGTGACGACTATTGTGTGGCGGCGCAGCGCGCGGCCGACGCTGAGCTGGACGTTTGGGACGACGGAGGCGCGCCGGGCCGCCGGGCCGCCGCTGCCGAGACGGTCAGTGGCGCGGGGGGACTTGGGGCAGCAGGGGGAGGTAGGGTGCTGGATGGGGCGCCGGAGATGAGGGAGCTGGGTGGGACGCTGCCTGGAGGTTATGTGAGCTGAATGGGCTGCGAGCTGTGTAAGGTGGCTATTACGCGTATTGTAGGTGACTGGGTAGGTATGTGTACGCCACTCTTTCTACGATTAGTTCCTAGAGCTCGTATTAGTTATGCGACTATGTCGATTAGTAGCGGCGCTGCACCGACTGGTATTGTATAATATCGTATTGCATCGACGCCTCTGACTGGTATCGTACGATATCGTATGGAACCGACGCCTCTGTCTGATCGTATCGTTACATTGCGCCGCCACAGGTGCCCAAGTCTCGGCTGAAGTCGGAGAAGAAGTCGAAGCGCCGGTTGAACGAGCCGAAGCGGCCCTCGAACCCGTTCTTCCAGTACTGCCAGGAGCAGCGCGGCCACATGCTCTCGCAGATGAAGGGACAGGTGAGGGATTTATTTTTATGTTTGAAGCACGTAACGATATAATCCATACAGACAGGGCCGGTGTCGATTACATCAATCGGCGTTAATCAGCTGACTAGACCGGGGTGTGTGCAGCTGTCTCGGATCGTCTGACCGGGTGTTGTGATCACTCGTTGATCGTTTTACCTATGTCGTGTTCTCAGAGTCCCGCCGGAGTGACGAAGGCGGGCGTTACCAAACAGCTGGCGGCCAACTGGAGCCGCATGTCCGCTCAGCACAAACAGGTGGGCGTGGTGTCAGTGACGCTGTAACGGTATTACAGATATAACGGAATACCGCTATAACGTCACTACCGTAACGTCATGAACATCGTTGTAATGCTATAAATAACTGTCTAGTCAATTTATATGCTACGCGCCAAAGGAATCCACACATCGGGGCATGTTTTAACGATTGCCTGGAAAAAAATCGACCCAACGCAGCAGTTTCCGTACTACTCCCTCTCGCCGACTCTTCCTGCTTGTCACCGAAACTGTTATTGCTCCCCAGCCCCATGTCAGACTCCGTTTTTCCTCACCACCGGTACTTCTCTCTCGCCTCTGACCCCCTGTTTCTCCTCTCCCCGCAGAAGTACGTGGAGCGATACGAGGAGGACAAGCGACAGTACGCCATCGCCATGCAGAAGCTGCAGAGCGGCGGCACGCAGGGTACCTCCGGCCCGTCGTGAGCGACATCTCCGGACTTAAGTCGGTAGGCTGAGGGCCAGAGTGCCCAACGATTGTAGTTTGCGCGTCAAAACAGTGTCTGAAGGTCGATCACCAGACTGCGGCCGGCGGACATCCTTAAAGGGACTGTCCCACCTTTGCATTAGTTCTGAGTTGATATAGCCAAGTTGGCGGCCAGGTTCAGAAACCACTATATATCCTGGTCGCAATATCCTCAGTTTCGTGGTGTTAAAGAAATTCGTTTCCTTCATTTGAAAAGTGGGCCTTAGCTAAGGCCCTATCTCTTAACTATTAACGGCCATTTGATGACGTCATTTGCATTTTGAACGCCTGTCACGCATGTGAAGTTTCACTTGATTTACGAATAAGCTAATCAGAGACACTTGTTATTGTATGAGCCGCGTCATATTTGAGAGCAAATACCTATCTTTGCTGCCAAATTTCCCCCACATTGACATGAAGTAAATCCTTCATTACGTCACAGATCCGATCTAAATGACGTCACGATGAAATATAAAAGTCGCAATATCTCAAAAAGTATACAATGAAAACGCGTAAAAACTTGCAGAAGTCGTCACAATATCATGAGTAACATTTCCGAATCCTAAATGGTACTTTTTTGAAGGTGGGATAGTCCCTTTAAAACACAAATCTGATCGTGATGATGGATCTCTTCAACTAGGCCAGACTACAGTCTACAGTCCACACAGTACCTCCTGGTCTGCTCATGAGTGCGGTCTGAAGTATCTAGTCTAAGGTCTGACAAGTATATGTTTACCAGTACCATTCTGGCGTCCAAAGGCAAAAAGACGTAAGCGCCACGAACATAATTTTACAGGAGAGCCTTTTTAGTGTTTTGCAATGGCCTTGTGAAAAGAAAAAGTGATACCGAGTTTAGTATCATTAGGACCGTCATAGTTTAGCAAATCCATGTGTTGCATTTTTTTTTGCATATAATTTTATCCGTTTTCTCATAAATCAAAAAATGCTTTCTTCTATGGCTGGAGTAGTTGAATTTGGTCCAACGTAACTGGCAAAAAGACGTAAGAAACATCTAAAAGTAACGCTTGAGGTTTGCGTCTTTTTACCGTCGTCTCCCTAGTGCTGAAACCTTAAACACAAAAAGGAAGATTAGCGTATTTGGGCAGATACGTTTTTTTTACCTTGGCCGCGGATGCTGAACAACACACGATGTCACCGACCAAAAAGCCGCATGTCCCATGTACGTCTTTTTTCCTCGGCCGATCTCTGAACAATTGTGGTAGTTTACAAGCCGTCGGGAGGACTAACCAGCATGCTGTTTTGATGACAAAAAACAATTCATTCATTTTCATTAATTTATTGTGGAAAACGGCGTCAGGAAACGACAGCGACGGCGAATGAGCTGTAATTCTGCCGCACAAAGTTGAAAAAGCGTATCTCGCATTTAGCAAGTTTTACAGGAGAGCACTTTTTGTCTTTTGCTCAATTAATTGAAAACCAAATGGCCAATCACCATAAAACTGATATGATATTCCTTGCTACACGACCAATCTCATCAGTGGCGTTATACACGAGAATTATATTGTTAATTTGATATAAACGTCGAAGAAAGTAGATACGCTTATTTCACCTTTGTTCGGCTGATGCCAATGCAGATACGCTTCAACCGTATGTACAAACAATGAGCGCATCTTCGTTTCTTGTCTTCGATGCACGAAGCATATCTACGCCGATTCTGTAAAATTCATTGAAAGTGCAATGAATAAAAAACGTATCTACGCAGATACGCTTTTCTGATGTGGCACAAAGGTATTCTGAATATCAGATACGTTTCTTCATTTTGCCTTTCTATGACCGGAAGTGAAACATTTGCGCTACCCAGGATTATTCTTCTCCTGAAAAATCGTTTATTGCAAATTTATACTTCCGTCAATATGTGTTGTCAGCCTCATAAGCCACCGAAACAACAGCTTTCAAAAATCAAAACATGTCCATGTATTTCACACGAAAGAGAAAAATACAAAAAAAGCAGGTCCATGCAGTTCACACGGATTAAAACAATGCTGCTTGCACTAGAACCTTCAGGAAACCGTTCAGTTCTTTTTCACAGGGTTTGTGAGGTAACTGAACATGAATGTCCCCTTTTAGTGCTAATGACCTTCACGAAATAAAAACGGCTTTCTCCTTAAAGCATGTACATGAACACACCGATGGTACTAATACATGCTCCAAGAAAAAGGTTTCTTTCGCCACATCCTATGCATGCGCATACTTTGTTCACCCAGTTAGGTCACGGCTCCCTGGTCGCGCCTCGTCGCTCAGCTTCTTCCAGAAGTGCCTTTTGTGGAGAGGCATCAGGGGAAGCAGGGTCTGACAGATTCTCCTTGTTCACTCCCCTCGGTCCACTCCTTCTCGCTGGAGCCACAGATGGATCGTACGTGGCTTTGACTATGTCAAAGCTGCGCCACTGTTCATCGCTGTGCGACGTCTTCATGTAGACCTTCTCGGTGCCTCTCCTCACCTGGATGACCCTCACGGTTCGTAGATTGGGTCGCAAACCCTCGCGTCCCAGGAGAGTCAGTTTCGACCTGCTGATTCCATCTTCGAAATCGAAGAAGTCAGCGGGCAGCATCGTTTTGCCTCTCATTCCAGCAGCCTCTACGAGCTGGGTGAAGTCGGTGAAGTCACAGACTTCTTTGATCTTTGCCAGTCGTTTTTGTACTACTTGTTGTGCGGCATCCGCACTCATTGACGTGTGTCCAGGTTCCAGGAATTTTATCGTCACAGTTTGGACAGCGTTGTCATTTTGATGCACGAACGTCATCAGCACTGTGATTAGTGTCCATAACTTGTTCTGAGCTGAACAGTTGTCTACGAAGAGGGTGATCTTCGCCTTATCTCCGTTCTGAGTCAGAAACTCCCAGCAAGTGGCGGCGACATCCTCGCAGTCACGCCCCGAGACCCCTTCGTGCCAAAGAACGGCTAGTGGCTTTTCTTTCGCCTTGTGACCCTTTTCTTTTTTCTCCAGACGAGCGAATGTCTCGTTGAATGCGACTAAGCGCGGCGTGAAGATTGCTGCCTTGTGAGGGAGTATTGGCAGGAGAGATATCTTCATCAGATCGGTACTGTATACAGCCTCGTCATCTCTTCTTTCGCGGTCTGCAGCTTGCCGGTACTCGGCTCTGCCCTCTGATGCCCGTTTCAGATGTTCTTCGTGGTCGTCACACTCATTACAGACATCACATTCATCGCTGTTGTCGTTGTGCTCAGCTGTTTTCAGGTGGTACAACTGACGCTTGCATATCTCGCACTCTTCGTGGCCCAGCGCCGTGAAGCCGATGTTCATAGCCTTTACCTCCTGCCGGTACCTTTCGTAACTGACCTTGTAGTATTTCGCTTCGAAGTCGGCGTGCATGTCACGAATAGTGACGTCACTTGGCAAGTACCTCCTGTTGGGCGCGTTGAGATAACGGTAGTGTGGGCTGCACGGTTGAAACGTTTCGATGTGGTTACGAAGATCGTCAGAGTTCAGCTTGTTCCCAGGGCTTTGTTCGCCTCTGCGGTCTTTCTTGGCTCCCGTGTTTGTCGCCAGAGCGTTTCGAACCGACTCGTCATTGTTACCCTTCCTTCCCAATGTGGTAAGGAAGAATGCCTTGCAAACATGCACAAGATCGTCGCCACTTGGCAAGTGCCATTTCAGTGTTCGTTGTTTCTTCTGATCACCCTGACCACTCGTCCTTCTGGCCACCTCTGCTGTTTTGACGTGCGCTTTGAACCAGAGTGCCTGCGCCCTCCAGTCTAGGCTGCATACAGATTCGTTTACGAACCGTCTCTGTTCTTCTGATATTTTTGAAGCACATTTCAGGCGGCACTGGTGCTTTGCACAGTTTTCTGGAATGGGTAAGACTGACCATTTTCTTGAAGGGGGCTGTGATCCAGGTACTGTTTCGTTCTGTGCTGCGAGACCAGCATTGCTGGGTCCTGCAGTGGCGGCGGGGCCGGTGCCTACGGTGCTGGCGGGACCGGGTCCTGCGGTGCTGGCGGTGAGGGCGGGACCGGGTCTCGCGGTGCCGGCGGTGCCGGGTCCTGCGGTGCCGGCAGTGAGGGCGGGACCGGGTCCTGCCGTGCCGTCAGTGAGGGCGGTGCCGGGTCCCGCCGTGCCGGCGGTGCTGGGTTCTGCGGTGCCGGCGGTGCCGGGTCCTGCCGTGCCGGCGGTGCCGGGTCCTGCCGTGCTGGTGGGGCCGGGTCCTGCGGTGCCGGTGGGGCCGGGTCCTGCCGTGCCGGCGGTGCCGGGTCCTGCCGTGCCGGCGGGGCCGGGTCCTGCGGTGCCGGCGGGGCCGGGTCCTGCGGTGCCGGTGGGGCCGGGTCCTGCCGTGCCGGCGGTGCCGGGTCTCGCGGTGCAGGCGGTGCCGGGTCTCGCGGTGCCGGCGGGGCCGGGTCCTGCCGTGCTGGCGGTGCCGGGTCTCGCGGGGCAGGCGGTGCCGGGTTCTGCGGTGCTGGCGGTGCCGGGTCCTGCGGGGCCGGGTTCTGCGGTGCCGGGTCCTGCGGTGCCGGCGGGGCCGGGTCCTGCCGTGCCGGTGGGGCCGGGTCCTGCCGTGCTGGCGGTGAGGGCGGGACCGGGTCCTGCGGTGCCGGCAGTGAGGGCGGGACTGGGTCCTGCCGTGCTGGTGGTGCCGGGTCCTGCGGTGCCGGCAGTGAGGGCGGGACCCGGTCCTGCAGTGCCGGCGGTGCTGGGTCCTGCTTTGCCGTCGGGGCGGTCCTGGGCATCTTAGCGGAAGGCTCATAGTCGGCTTCATCTAAGAAAAAAGCGGTACAAGGTTGTCAAAGACAGTAATGGTTTCGGATGCTGGAAGACCTCTCGTCAGTCCAAAGACAGTAATGGTTTCGGATGCTGGAAGAACTCTAGTCAGTCCTGAATTTCAGATGAAAAAAAGGTTAAACAGCGTTACGGAATGTCAATGTTTAGATTCAACTAACGATTAAAAGGTTGATTCCTAAAAATTCCGGCTTGCTTGCAGGCCCAGCAGCTTACACCAGTCACCTGGGAATCATGGAGCATGGTACCATGTCCGCAATGCTATTCAACTACTTAGCACTGTCAAGTCCAGCATAACCCAGCCTGTGCGAGGAATAAGGTACAGCACGAGCCCTACTTTGGGCAGGCACAGTTAGTGAGGTTCCTGTCCAAGTCCTGTGCCGAAACTATGAGTGTGATATTCAATTAAACACTTCTTGTGTTTACTTTTAAATATATCATA